GATCAAGTTGCAAACCTGTATTTTTTTTTAAAACTTTGCAATGCAGAAGGAATTTAAAAAGGCTCTTTGACAAAGGGCTATCGTAAACATAAAAGGACGGGAACCAAAGGCGATTTGAGGCTTCACAGCAGGTTCGAATATCCACACTGTTATACAGTTAACATCCTTTCAAGATACACTCACATTCTAAGCACAACACATGTTAATGGGAAAACAAAGACTTTATTGATAAAAACCCTACCACACTTTTTCATGTGTTATATAAGATTCACTATATATTTGATTTCTTTAAATTAGAACTGGCACTCCTCTAAAAGCGACAGTACCATTTCATGTCCTAAAAGATCACTACTGTGCTTCCTGGAGTGAGCACTACAGCAGAGGTAAGTAAAGGACACACTTAAAGGGATTCTCCAGTGCAAGGAAAACATATTTGTTTTCCTGGCACTGCAGGGCCCTGCAGTGCCCCTCTCCCCCCCATCCCCATCCCAAGTTGCTGAAGGGGTTAAAACCCCCTTCAGTGACTTACCAGAGTCCAGCGCCGATGTCCCTCGGCGCTGGGTCAGGCTCCGCCTAATCTCCTCCCCTGCCAACGTCAGCCGGCAGGGGAGACCTAATGCGCAAGTGCGGCAATGGCCGTGCACGCGCATTAGACCACCTCATTGTAAAGCATTCAGTGCTTTCTTATGGGGATTTCGGCGACGCTGGAGGACGTCCAGGGTCGGATAACACACTTTTCTTGTTCTAAGAACACAGAAGTCCCTCTAGTGGCTGTCTAATCTAACAACCATCAACAGTGACAGCTGCAAAGTTATTAGCTGTGTTTATGGAGGATGCCATAAGTCCTGGTCCTAGTCTAGTCTAAACCTGGTCTTGTGTGTATGTGTATGTTTTGGCCACCCTCCTGCTTACCTTCCCTGGTTGACCAGTGGCGTGTGAGCCCTAGTGGCCCAGTGGACAGTAATCTGGACCACTGGTGATTTGCTTCATCGACTGCACTAATATCAGGTGCAGATCACTTTAAGAGTTCCCTCATGGTTCCAGCACTCAGTCAATGACTCAGAGCAGCTGCTGTGGCATTTTGAGTCATCGAGAAATGCCAGGTAACCACAATGATGCTCTTTAAGCGGTCTACGCCTGATATTGGTGCAAACCACAATGCTCCATCAATGAAGTGAGGAGGCACAGGGCTGTGCAGTGAGATCCATGCCGGCTTGAGGCAGGCCTCCTCGCATCCACAGCACAAAGCCAAGACAGGGGCCCACCCAGCCCCTGTCTGAGGCTTGTCCCTAGATGGCCACTTTGGACATCTAATGGATAATCCCGCCCTGATTGTATCCCCATATTTGTAACGTTTATGTTTAGGGCAAGTTTCATGTCATACCAGTTCAGGTACACATATTGCCATATTATCGTCTAATCTTTTAATTGCTGAGACATTTAAATGAACTGCACAGACACAAGAGAAGCAACATTTTTCAAATTTTGTCAATGTGTTAATAACCCTTCTGCCCCTAAAAAAGTTAAAAGGTACACTATAGGCACCCAGATCACTTCACTATAATGAAGTGGTCTGGGTGCCATGACCATGTCCTTTTATCCCTGCAAATGAAAACATTGCCGTCTGACAGCCACCAGAAGCCCTTCCACCAAAATAGCCAATTTAAACTTAGCTATTTCAATCAGATGGTCTCATTAAAATTGTCATGGAAGAAGATTACTGGGGGAGGGGGAAGATTGCCTAAACAGCGAGCAAGACACTATAGCATTAGGATTACATAATTGTATTCCTAATGCAATAGTGTTCCTTTAAGTATTAGCACTTTAAATCAAGTAAGATCAATCAGTAAAGAAACGATAACAAGCACAGGTCAGAACGAGTAAAACAACACTGACATCTAGTGACCAGATGTGGTAACAATATTTTATTATTGCATTTGCCTCAACAGATAACAGTATTTGCTAATGATATTTAAAGTCAATAGACAAGATGTACTCATTAAAAATAATAATAATAATAATAATAAAAACTCTATGGAATTATTTAGTGAAGGGGGTTAGTAATGAATCCTCATAAACACATTTATTTTACTACATTCAGCAGAGACAGACAGACAGATAGACAGACAGACAGATAGACAGACATTTTTTTGACTAGGCTTTTAAAATGATCATTATTTTATTTATGACAAGCTGGCTTTTAGCGGGATAAAGATAAATGATAAATGTTACATGTTAAGTGCGGCACTAGTTAATTAAAGGGACTTTGAATGCAATATGTTAATAAAGCAATCAGTTTCTGTAACAATGTGATAAAGAGCGTAGGCCGATAGACAGATGTTAGACAACCTCAATATTGTTTTGTGGATGGATTAACCGGTCTGACAATGTACACTGGGAACAAAAGTGCTAGTTATGTCACTAACGGACAATAGGCAGCTCTAATTCACACTGGACCTTTATCTGGCCTCCTTAGGGAATAAATATCAATGCTGCATCCGGAGTACAGTGCCAGGGCCTTCTATTCTTTCCACCAGCTAGAATTAACTCCTTTCATACCAACCCCACACACACACAGATTTACAGGGAAATTCAAAAATCAGAAACCTATCGTTCTTCATTATTTTGACTTCACTTATATTATTTCTTAAAGGGACAGATTATAGTCATCAGAAACACTACAGCTTAATGTTGTTGTCCAGGTGTCTATAGTCTGTCCCTGTAGGCTTTTTAATGTAAATGTTTACATTACTTCCCAGGAGCACGTCTAATGGCCGTCACTCAGGCAGCCACTAGAGGTGATTCCTGGGTCAGTGCTGCACAGTGAGCAGCACTGACGCTCAGCTTCTCCACGCTCTGCATGTAGACACTGAATGCTCGTCATAGAGAAGCATTTATGCGATGCCTCTTTATGAGGAGACACGGATTGATGCACAGTGTCATTTTGCTGCGCATGCACAATAGCCTCCACATGCATTCCTGTGGTAAAGCATTGAATTGCTTGAGATCTTTAACCCCTTAGCGCCGTAGGGCGTACTATTACGTCCTATTTTAAGCGGCTCTAAACGCCACCGGGGGCCCCAGGAAGCCCCCCGCAGCACATCCGACGTCCTGAAGCCCCCCCCGGCCATGTGAGAGTGAGGTCCTTGCGAGGACTTCACAATCACATGGCCGGGATAGCTGGCTTCTGTATTGCCAGCAGGGGTGCTGCCTGTAATGACAGGTGGTCTCCCTGCTGGCTGGAAATAAAATAAATTAAGTTAATAAGTGTATAAAAAAAAACAATTATATGCTTACATCATATATATATAGAAGAAAGAGAGAGGGGCTATGGGGTGGGGAAACCACCACCACTACCCCACAAAAAGGTTACAGAGGTACAAGGGGCGTAACCCCACAATATATATAGAAAAAAAGACGAAAAATGGGGCAGACAGTCCACTCACAAAAAAGTGGGTGGAATGCCTAGCCTCATTCAAAGTACCTCATAATGTAAATAGTCACATAGAAGAGGATAAACAACCTTTATTAGAAAAAAATGCTAAAATGGTATATAGTCCAAATACTATTACCATACACTAAAATAGTGTATTGATTATAAGTTAACCACCAAACTTATAAAAGCCTGGGAGAGGCTAATCCTGCAAGGTATGTTTGACTTAATAAAGGTGTAAAAATACACCTAAAATAATAAATGGGTAACAAAGCAGGTTAGACTACCTGCTTTGTTACCCATTTATTATTTTAGACTAACCTGCTTTGTTACCCATTTATCATTTTAGGTGTATTTTTACACCTTTATTAAGTCAAACATACCTTGCAGGATTAGCCTCTCCCAGGCTTTTATAAGTTTGGTGGTTAACTTATAATCAATACACTATTTTAGTGTATGGTAATAGTATCTGGACTATATACTATTTTAGCATTTTTTTTCTAATAAAGGTTGTTTATCCTCTTCTATGTGACTATTTACATTATGAGGTACTTTGAATGAAAAATAAAATTAAAAAAATAATTAAAAATAAATAATTAAAAATATATAGATGTGTGTTATTTCGTTCTAACTGTATTGTGATATTAATATATATATTTATATCAAAATACACGTAGAACAAAATAATATATATATCTATACACAAAAATATAAATAGGTTATGGTGGGGGAAAATTGTGATTGAAAACCCCTTCCACCTGAAGTATGTGGATAGTTAATACAATGCTAAACAAAAATCTGCACACCAGTCAAGCCATAAGACTCGCTTTTCCCACAGAAATCCCAAATCAGCAGTGATGTTACAACCGCAAAGGATTCTGGGTGGGCATATGCAAATTAGTTTAACAAAGAATCACATTTTTGCCTCATTCCATTTTAAACATGGATTCCCTTTAATTTGTGTTTGCAGTATACAACTGCTTGGAACACAATTTAGGATAAGATGCAAAACCAGTGAACCACTCATGGACAGCTGTTTCGTTGTTAATGCAACTCTTCAGCATGAGGTTGGTTACTGGTTTGCTTATTGAGGCTTGGTAGTGCTTGGGAAGCAAAATCCAAATAGGTTATGGTGGGGAAAATTGTGATTGAAAACCCCTTCCACCTGAAGTATGTGGATAGTTAATACAATGCTAAACAAAAATCTGCACACCAGTCAAGCCATAAGACTTGCTTTTCCCACAGAAATCCCAAATCAGCAGTGATGTTACAACCGCAAAGGATTCTGGGTGGGCATATGCAAATTAGTTTAACAAAGAATCACATTTTTGCCTCATTCCATTTTCAACATGGATTCCTTTTAATTTGTGTTTGCAGTATACAACGGCTTGGAACACAATTTAGGATAAGATGCAAAACCAGTGAACCACTCATGGACAGCTGTTTCGTTGTTAATGCAACTCTTCAGCATGAGGTTGGTTACTGGTTTGTTTAGTGAGGCTTGGTAGTGCTTGGGAAGCAAAATCCAAATAGGTTATGGTGGGGAAAAATTGTGATTGAAAACCCCTTCCACCTGAAGTATGTGGATAGTTAATACAATGCTAAACAAAAATCTGCACACCAGTCAAGCCATAAGACTTGCTTTTCCCACAGAAATCCTAAATCAGCAGTGATGTTACAACCGCAAAGGATTCTGGGTGGGCATATGCAAATTAGTTTAACAAAGAATCACATTTTTGCCTCATTCCATTTTAAACATGGATTCCTTTTAATTTGTGTTTGCAGTATACAACTGCTTGGAACACAATTTAGGATAAGATGCAAAAACCAGTGAACCACTCATGGACAGCTGTTTCTGCTTGTTAATGCAACTCTCGTGCCCATGAGGTTGGTTACTGGTTTGCTTAGTGAGAGGCTTGGTAGTAAAAGTTGGGAAGCAAAAATCCAAATAGATTTAGCATTGTATTAACTATCCACATACTTCAGGTGGAAGGGGTTTTCAATCACAATTTTTCCCCACCATAACCTATTTGGATTTTGCTTCCCAAGCACTACCAAGCCTCAATAAGCAAACCAGTAACCAACCTCATGCTGAAGAGTTGCATTAACAACGAAACAGCTGTCCATGAGTGGTTCACTGGTTTTGCATCTTATCCTAAATTGTGTTCCAAGCAGTTGTATACTGCAAACACAAATTAAAAGGAATCCATGTTTAAAATGGAATGAGGCAAAAATGTGATTCTTTGTTAAACTAATTTGCATATGCCCACCCAGAATCCTTTGCGGTTGTAACATCACTGCTGATTTGGGATTTCTGTGGGAAAAGCAAGTCTTATGGCTTGACTGGTGTGCAGATTTTTGTTTAGCATTGTATTAACTATATATATATATATATATATATATATATATATATATATATATATATATATATATATATATATATATATATATATATATATATATATAATAATGCTTGAGATTCCTTGTACTCTGGCTCCATGTAATAGTCCTGGGTGCTGTAAGCCTGGGGTTCAATATCCAAATAATTCATGTATAAACTGGTTGTACTCATGGCCTTTGAATAATACAAATTCCATTCTTTAATGAGAAAAGGTTAAAACATGTATGGATCGACGTTTCAGTGCCCGTCCAGGCTTTTCCTCAGGATGGTTCTATGATCCTGAGGAAAGGCCCAGACGGGGACTGAAACGTCGATCCACACATGTTTTTACCTTTTCTCAATAAAGAATGGAATTTTTATTAATCAAAGACTGTGAGTGCAAGCCAGTTTATACATGAAGTATTTATATATATATGAATATATATATATATATATATATATATATATATATATATGTATATATTTATTCTACACTAACATATAATGCTGCTGCTGTGCTCACATTGTGCTACTTCCATGATAGCATCTTGCTTCTCTCTCTTGTGGGTACCGTAACCAAATCTCCTGGTGCTAAGAACCAATGATGGCTCCTGAGTGGTGAGATTAATAGAATGCCTCCACTCTTGGGCATTTGAGTCTGCTGCCCAAATGGCTTTAAATTGGGAGGCCCCTGTAATTTCTTCTTAAAGAAGACTAGGCATGCTGACCTACCTAATTGTTCTAAAGAAAGCTTTTTCAGACAGCCTCCAATGGTAAAAGGTAAATGGTAATAATGAAATTAGGATACCACAGAGTTATTTGCAGTTTAGTATTTTAGCAACCAAAAAAAAACAACCAGTTTTTATTCTGAAATAAATATTCTCACACCATTCCATCTCATCATTGATGCTTAACTGGGGAAGGAGAATATTGAGATACCTTTGTGGTAGCCAGAATAAGCTTATTATTCAACTGCTGATACAGCTAGAGCCTGCTCCTTTAGGCTCTACAGAGTGTGAGTGACCCGATACTATTACTACTGATCAATTGTTTCTATATGCAGTATTATGCTATGTCTACCTTTTTACTGTCTTCCACAGAATGATCAAGAGGTCCCACATCTCTAAGTATTTGTTATTTGTATTTTGCACCCCCTCATTTTTTTTTTTTTTTGGTTGTATCATATATGTAGTGTCTTTTGAGTGATTTACAGACACTGGGGGTTGTTGCTATTTTATTATTCAGCGCAAATCCACCTGTATCTTTCTTCTATTTTTAGGAGGAATATTTTCTCTTTTAATAGTATTTTAGCAGATCGTATTTTAGAAGTAAGAGAAAGGACATTGTTACTCCTGCTACAACTAAGCAAACCAGACAGAAGGTTTGGGGTGATTAAAATTGATTAATTGTTGTTATAAATGTTTTTGCAACACATGGAATGAAATAGCTACAGAGGAATCAAATGGTTAATATTTTGGCACAGGTTTAAAAAGAAGAAAGATGGATAAGTTACCTTTAAATCTCCTTTGGCTGCCATCAAGGCTCTCCAGTTCTAACTCCAATCCAGTATCTCATCCGGGATAATCCTCCATGTACTGTTACAAAAGCTGTACACTATTTTGCATAGACCAACACAGTTGCCATTCAAGCAAATCCACCACACTCCTGAGCAGATTTTGTAGCACAATATTAAATATTATAACACCCCATATATATATAAAGCAACCCAAATAATATTGTGCTCACTACTGTCAGGCTCCAAAGAACAGTCAGTCTGAAATTAGGTGCATTTAATATATTAGAGGATGAACCCACAGACAAATGTTAAACAGTTTTAGGAACTTTCAAAAAACATTCAAAAGTAAACTATTTCTCCATTTAAAATCAGTGCCATCTCATATAGGCTGCAAGCCTTGGACAATATATTCTACACATTTTGTATTAAAACTATATTAAATCGAGCGACGGAAAAACCCCCTCGAGGCAGCAAACCACTGAACCTGCCTAATCTGCTACCTAACCAGCGGCCTGGAACATGCAGCACTAAGTACCATCCAGCAAAGCAGCAACCCCACATGAGGAGAAACGCCTGCCGAGAGCAGCAACCAACATCCAGAACTTTGGAGTGTCCCTGACGGAGGAAAATCTTGGTCACCTTGAGTGCCCGGCTAGAGGAATAGTATGGTCAGCCTGCAAGATCGCAACACATGAGAACTGCTCTGCGGCCATACTGCCAGACACTTTTTCAGAAACTCTACTCTACTGTTGCTGCTTATGGGAATTGGTTGATTCTGGCTACAATCCTAATACATGCATCACTATCTCATCAACAAAGAACAGATGTATACCTGCCTTTTCTGATTTTATTCTTGTTGTTTTGTTCTTATCTTACAATTTAATAGTTTGAGGTATAGTGATGTAATGCTAAGCTTAACCCCAGTGGCTCCACTCTACGACCACTTCTATAGCATGTTATAGAGTAATCAAAATCTTCTCTACATACAACTTATGCCATGCTGTCAGTTCCCTATATTTTAACCTACCTAATCTATCAATGCATCTTACGCTCATTTCTATCTACTCCTGACAATTTAGTCCCATACTACTGTTGTTGAAATAGACGTGCCAACCTAGCTTGTTTCAAAACTTTTTTTAAAAAGTGCTGTTTTTCATGCCACTGTCTTAAAGGGATACTATAGTCATCAGAACAACTATAGCTTATTGAATTTGTTCTGGTGAGTACAATAGCTCTCTTCAGGCTTTTTGCTGCTAACACTGTCTTTTCAGAGAAAATGCAGTGTTTACATTACAGCCTAGTAATAACTTCACTGGCCACTCTTCAGATAGCTGTTAGAGATCCTTCCAGGGTCATGGCTGCCTAAAATGCATCCAAACATTCAGTGCACCCTCTGCATGCAGACACTGAACTTTCCTCATAGAGATTAATTGATTTAATTCATCTCTATGAGGAGATGCTGATTGGCCAGGGCTGTGTTTGAATCATGCTGGCTCTGCCCCTGATCTGCCTCCTTGTCAGTCTTAGCCAATCCTATGGGGGAGCATTCTGATTGGATCAGGCTACCACTTCTGATGATGTCAGAAGACTGTTTCTTTTTCTGAGTCTAACAGCATGCAGAGTTACAGCTTCAGGCTTGAATACAGTAAGATTTGAACTATATTTACGGAGGCATGAGGGGCACAGGGGGGCTAGATGGTGGTTTTTAACACTATATGGTCAAAAATAAAGAATTGTATAAAAAAACAAACAAAAAAAAACTATATTACATCAAACAAAATTCACAATGCACAAGTCATAGTTTAAATGGAAAATGGAAACCTCTTCCTAATTTTGAACTTATACTTATAACGTATTGCCGGAAAGCGGACGCTATATTATAGGCACTAGTGAGCTTTAAATGTAAGACATAATCAAAAGGCCATGTTGCTTGACTTTTTAATATATGATATATGATATATGGTTAGTGCCATTTAAGTTTATAACATATAGGCAATCCATTAAGGGCTACTACTAAAACTGGTATATTATCATAGGACAAGCTAACAATACAGATTTAACCACTAATACATTTAAAATACTGAATACAATGTAACTCCATACTAATGGAAATTAAACGTTGAATAGTTATGGCCATTAGGAATGTATCACAGAATGCACTGTAACTCAACACTGGTGGAATTGAATATCACCTACATGCTGTTCAGGAGGGAGATGTGGTGGATTTTCACTCACCAGACCAGGATCTCTTTTGGCTAAAATGTGGAGTGGCATCTCTCCTTTCAATTTTGATGTACCTACTAAAATTATCTACAAAGTCCTGTGAGTGCACCTTCCTTGGTATATATATTTTGGCATAAGTGATTTGCACCCAGACAAGTTCAAGACCGAGAGAGTATTGGTTCCACATATGTGTATATATATATATATATATATATATTTGTGCTCGGAATTTAAATACGTAATGGATAGTATCTGTGAGCAAAGTTGGTTGTGGTGTGCCGAAACCAACGTACGAGTGGGCCTGTAAATAAAAGAGG